TAAAAAAAAAAAAGACAAAATTCTGCAGATGGAAAATACATTGGGAAATGTTGAGGAGCTCAAGGGAGGGAGTTAGGAATGGAAATAATGAGGATGCATTGTTTATATAAATAAAATTTAAAATAAATAGAAATGGCAGCTACCTGGCTGAATAAGAAACAGTGATAAAAATCTACAGGTACCACATGAGTGAAGGAATATGCCCTTCTGTGGACACCAAGAGGGTGAAGGAATGCAAAACTAAATCTAGGTAAACAGACCACAGTGCATGAAATTACACATAAAATGTACAAATGCAAACTGTGAGTAAGAGACCCAGTAGAAGATGAAGAAGGAGCAGATTCTGAAAAAAAAATCTGTCAAGTGGGTTCCTGTTAGGCATCTACTAATCCATCTTCACTCCATGACACCTCCCATATCTAAGCATATGCTGCAAAGGAGCTGAGCCTTAGGCACAAGGCTGAATTTTTTTTCTCTGCCGAAACAGGCTGAAGCATCTATGTTCTTGTCAACTAGGGATGCTTTTAACTGTGTGTGATTGGATTCTGGCCATTGAAATAGTTAAGTGTGCCAAAAGCTTCTGATAAACTTTCTTGCCTACTCTTAAAAAAGACACACAGGGAGGTCCAGTCTGTAAAATGCATAGGGAGGGAGGTCCAGTCTGTAAGACACATAGCATAGAGAGGTCCAGTCTCTAAGACACATAGCATAGAGAGGTCCAGTCTGTAAGACACACACAGAGGTCCAGTCTGTAAGATACATACAGAGGTCCAGTCTGTAAGACACATAGCATAGAGACATCCAGTCTGTAAGACACACACAGAGGTCCAGTCTGTAAGACACACACAGAGGTCCAGTCTGTAAGACACATAGCATAGAGAGGTCCAGTCTGTTGGATCTGACTCTGATGCTAGAATTGGTGACACTGTTTTAAAAGAAGGAAATTAACCAGAAGAGAGATTATATATCAACAGTAGCAGGATGTCCAAAGGAGGAAGTAGCTGTGTCATTTATAATCTACTGATAGAATAGCCCGGGGATCCCCATTCTTCAGCACCTCTTCTTCATGCAACTAATATAATTCCTTACTGTTTACAATGTTCAAGTAAAGTGGGTCTTTAAAATTAATAACTGAAAACATTCTAATATAATTCCTTACTGTTTACAATGTTCAAGTAAAGTAGGTCTTTAAAATTAATAACTGAAAACATTCTAATATAATTCCTTACTGTTTACAATGTTCAAGTAAAGTGGGTCTTTAAAATTAATAACTGAAAACATTCTAATATAATCCCTTATTGTTTACAATGTTCAAGTAAAGTGGGTCTTTAAAATTAATAACTGAAAACATTCTAACTGATACGAAAAAAAATTTTATAAAAGTAAGTTTATGGTTTGGATATTGAAGTGATTTTTAAAGTTTTGCTTCTAAATGATTATCAATCCAAAGCATGCAAGCATTGTTACATTTTTTACTTCAAATATAGAATTCTCTATTTTAAAGCACCATACATTCTCCTTTGAAGTAGGTAGCAACAGTTAAACAAACGCAAATACATAGTGTTTACAGTGAGAACTTTGCAGGGAAAAACATGGACAGTCATATTCATCGGTTGGAAATGGTATTATTTTTAGAAATCTGCAACTTCAGAGTTCACATCATAAGCTGGTCTATGTATGGTTCTTTGGGCTATCATTATGCAGTTTACTTGCTGGTGAAGTGTTTTTACAGTAGTATTTTATATTCTACCCTCATAATTCAGAGACAGGCACGATACCTTATTAGGAATGACACTTTAACTCTAAAAACCAAGATGTTGGTGGAAAGATCACTATGTGATAACACTAATAGGGTGGCATGAGGAGATTGGCCACCCTCTGCTTCTGATGTTACTAGATGACATTTGTTGGATCTTACATCTATTTTTGGCTCTGATCTTAGGCTCTCCACCTACTCTTGGAAAACCAGCTTGTGGTATTCCAGTGACTTCATTTTCAACACAGTATTCCATTCATGTGTTGAAATACTGTGTATTTCTCATTACTGCAAAACAATATGGTTCTTCCTAGTTTCTTGACGTCAGTGCACCATAAGGAAATGTAGTGTGATTTGTTTTGGTGATTTATTTACTTATTTAGTGCAATTTTATCATTTATATTATCTGCAGAAAATGCAACTTACATTCATTCCCACACAGGATAGGTGCAGAAGAAACCCAGGCAACAATGATATAGTGTCAGTATTGCATGTGATAGGATAGAGTTTGAGGCATATTTTTTTAAAGTCCAATCAGGGTAGTGACCTAAACACGAGGGTCATCCTTCATTTATTATTTCAGTCTGGAGTTGTTTCGGAACTCTTGTGGATTCCCACACTCATAGAACAACCATAGTCCTCTGTGTAAGCACTCTGCCATACTCAGCACCTGCCTTCATCCCAAGGCCCCTCCTCCAGTTCCTGGTGCTCTGCTTCCTTAGTGAGGAACCAGGAGTGTACCCACAAAGTCAAATCACTTTCCTTTGCAGAGTCCTTAGGAAAGCCTTCCATAGAAGCTTGGGTGGATCTTGTGTGTAAGTCACCAATGTATGAGCAATGCTTCTATCTAGAGTAAAAGGTTTATTCCATTTCATAAATGAGGTGGCCAAGGATCAAAGAAGATCGTCACCTTACATAAAACTACAGCTAGATGGGTTGGTATCGTGATTTGAACATACATTTGTCTGATTATAAAGTCCATGTTAGTTGGTTGTACTGGCACACACCCTAATCTTAGTATCCCAGGAAGCAGAGGCATATTAGAGAACTCATTCAGACAGTGAGACCTTAGTATCCCAGGAAGCAGAGGCATATTAGAGAACTCATTCAGACAGTGAGACGCAGTCTTGGGGGGAAAAGGAAAAAAAATCTGCTAGTAATAACTTGGATGTTACATTTAAAGAAAACATACTAAGGCAAATTAATTGTGAATGAATATACTTCAGGGCCCCAGTGGTGACTAGAATTATGATGTGTGTAAATAAAACTGCCTGAAGTTGCCCTAATGTTTGACAGTGTCCACATTCAGAATCAAGGAAAATGAGATTGCCCAGCACAGAGTTAAAGGCAGACACAAGTGTCCTTGGTTTTAAAGGTTCCTTTCTTTTTCCCCATGTTGCCTCTTGTACCAAAAATGTCTCTGCTCTTTCCCTCTATTTAAGGCAAAATTCAGAAGCCAGAACAGAAGTGTCAGGGTGAAATGAACTGTCTCTTTGCAATAAACCCTCACTCTTCATTCATTCATTCAATCTTGCTAATATAATGATGTTACTCACGTATGTCCACTGAACATTGTCCCTGACAACCCTGCAAAGAAGACATTTTTAGAACTGAGAGCTAATCCATGAGTGGTCCTGTCCATTCTCTCGCTATCACCTCTCCCATTGTCAAGTGTGTAGAGAGACGAGTTTGAATAGCAAAGCTGTGTGCAGGTGTAGTTTCCAGCCTCACTATGAGTCCACAGCTCTTGAAAAGCAACTTTTGAAGGAAGCTTTCTGTTTGATGTGGATGATGGTGAGAGTTATTTTTATAGCGCAGAGCCAGTGAGTTCTCAGTGAGGAGAAAGTCCCCAGCTAATGAATGAGGAACTGGGCTTGGGTCAAAGCAGAGTACAGTATATCTTTTAAACAAACTAGTCATAAGCATAGCTTATTCCAGTACGTGTTGGGCAGGGCTGGGTGTTTTACTATATTTGTGAGAGGTTGAAGAGGTGTGAGCAGGGTATGTACTTCCATGCCTCTAATCCCATGAGGCTAAAGCTTGGTCATCAGCCTTCTTGGCCAAGAGACATACTTTCCTGCAACTCCACTAAAACCACAAAGGTGGGGAAGAAAATGCCTATTCATTCATGTAAAGACTCTGATTCAGATGGCTCATATGCCTCAACACAGCATTCAGTAAACCTCTATATAAAGTGTGAATCAGTCTTGGTTCTGTCAAGCTTGTTTTAGACATCAAGGCACTTTATAGAATAAATTTCTTTCTGGGTTTTATGGACTTGAAATGGAAATGAACATAGCGTTCAGGTGTTTTTTTATGCCAGTAGTTGAATGGTGTTAGTATCCAACTTATATTTTCATGTTTTAATTCACCAAAACATTTCTTCACTAAAGATGGAGAATTTAGGTTATTAAATGCAAACAGTGCCTGCTTCATTCCTTCCTTCATCTGTGTTTGTATTATCTATATTTGAAATGTCCATTTAGAGGATGAAACACTTTTTTGATACAAGTAAAAGTAAATTGTGCTTATAATTGTATTTTTCTCCAAGTCATTTACTGATTGATCCCTTACTTTAATGTCTCACAAATTCAGTCATACAGCAATGGATTTTACCTGCTGTAGGATGAGAGACCAGCCAAATGTGGAGAACTATAGTATCAATTGACTGTACCATGGGTCTGTCTACTTGTTCCATAGCCACATTCACCAGACAACCAGACTGCAGCATACAAAGCAATATATTAACCATGTCACTCGTAACAACATGGCCAGTAATCGTTATCATAAATACAACAGAAGTTGATTTTTAAATTAAGGCCACTGGTGAGAGTGATTTAAGTTTATGTAGCATAAATTCAACACCATATGATCATAGGATGGTGGATTAACCAAGGTTAATGTGGTGGCACATGGCATTTATTTAAAGTCCTTATTGATTGATTCTGTAACTGGCTTCCATGCTATTCCTTGTTACCTTTTTTCCATCCTAGGATGCAGCAAGGAAGAGATTAACCACTCTTATGACTATTCAGTTTGATACAGTGGTTCATTGTCTATACATTATACTATTGTATATTCCTGTGAGTGTTGAATACATGCCTATTATTTACTGAACAAAATGGAAGCAATATGCCAATGATTTGGATTGTAGTGAGGCCCCTGAAAAGATATCTTTCTAAGAAAGTACTGGAAGGCCCATTGGGGAAACTGAAATGCCTGGGTTCCTTTTGTCTCTTAATAGAGTCGGATGTGGAAGGCCTTGATGATCTAGGCACAGTTTACAGTAACATTGGCCAGCAGCTGAATGAGACAATGAGGCGCCGCAGACACTCGGGAGAGAAGGATTACAACATCGAGGTGCTTCTGGGAGTGGATGACTCTGTGGTCCGTTTCCATGGCAAAGAGCATGTCCAAAACTACCTCCTCACCCTGATGAACATTGTGAGTAGTGACTCCTTCCTGAGGCTTTTGGTCATTTCAATCACAGCTCTTGCTTGCTTAGTGTCCTCTGGGCACTGGTAGAAGAACCTCACTCAAGGCCTGGGCAAAACAGTGTTGAATTCAGATTCTGATCTCTACCTCTGAAGTACAAGAATTCAGTCAAAGGAAGCATGAAATGAAAGTTCCTTTTGCTCAATCTACTGGTTTCGCTTGTTACCAAGTGATATTTTCCTGTTGATTTAGCTGCACATGAATCTACTGATAGTTTGATATCATCTGCCACCCCACAGCCACTCAGTCCGTGCCCTGCCCTGAGTGGCCTAGCTGGGCTTCCCATCCAGCTGCCCAGGCTCTGCCTCAGCCACAAGGTATAGGTTTAAATTGAGTCTCTATGGTTCTATTTAGCAATAAGACTCAGGAGTAAAAATCCGCTAGCTCAGAAAGGCTGGGCAGCAACTAGCTAACCTTTCTTTTCAGCCTGAAAAATGGCAGGAAACACATCTCTTTCCTTGTTCTAGAACCAAGAGGAAACTCAGACTCTAGTCCCTGCACTCTCCTTCCTCTGCATCTTCTCTATCCAAATTGTTGGCTTCTCTATGACCAATTCCAGTGAGCTAGTTTCTGTCTCTACTCCCTGATTCAAGGTATAACTTTATTGGGCAGTCTCAGGAATGTCAGAGTACCATCAAAATATCCCACAACAGCCAAGTAAAAAAAAATCATGTATTTTAGAAGCCATGTTGAATGGAATTATATCATGGGTTTGATTTTCATTTTGTTTGAGGGACAATTAGTACACTGAAGTCTGCCAACTTGCTCTGGGTAGTTAAATAAGGTTCTTCCCAGCATTGCTCCGTCCCTGAGAGGATGGATGATTTTACATTGCTGAGAAATAACCAATGATAACACATCCAAGCCACCTACTTCTGAGAGATAACTGAAACAGTGGCATCCTTTCATGTATTTTATCCCAGGCCATTCTATAACACACAATATATTGAACTTGTAGCTTTGTTGCCTAACTCTCTGCCCTCTTTCTGCTTTCTGATGCTTGATTTTATTTCTTTTGGTACCTATGCCATTTACTTTTTTCATGTGTAGTGTATTTCATTTAACTATGAAGATATATATTAATGATGAAAATGCTAAATTTCATTAATAATTGTTTTATGCACAACAATATTTAATCCTGTTAAATAGTGTTTATTCGTTGAGATGCCAGTTTCTAAAATCACACATATTCCACAACTCTGTGAGGTTTTGAAGGTGTGCTCTGCATCCAAACTCAAGGCCAGTGCAGTGGCTTAAAGTGATGTTATCTGATCTCATAACTCTTCCCTCAGCTGCTGATTTGCAGAATTTCCTAGAAGAGGGAGTAATGGTAGAGGGAAACAAGGCTATTTTGGGGGTAAGTTGGATTGAATTATGTGGCCCTTGAAGCTATGCCATGGAGCACGTACAAATTACACAACAAGCCACAGAGTACAGGTCAAATCTTAGCATCAGAATTCTCATGGCTCTGTGGTGGGGGATTTGGACAGCTAAGCAAGACTGCTGAATTCCATATTGTGCAAGGAGATATTTGTGAAGATATGAACAGAAGCTGAAACCTGAGAATGGGAAAAGAGTGGAAAACATGGGAATTTAGTTTGGAACAAATACATTTCCTGTTCCCATATTTTTAGGGCCAATGATTTAAAAATCTAGTGATTGTAGGTGAACTATAATTTTATTAGGTAAACTAAACACATAAGAAAGTCATCAGTCATTATAGGTTCATTTAGAAATATTTTGTGAAATCTATTCAAATTTGGAATCATAAACAAATAAGCTACAATGATTAAAGTGTGTGTGTGTGTGTTAAAGGAATTTCAAAGTTGGCATGAGATTCCATGACATTTAGTAGAAATATGCCTATTGGTTACTATGTGGAAATCCTCACTAGGAAATCCACAAAGGATGATGGTATAGACTGTTTTAAAATACACTGAAAAAGTTGATAGATTCATGTCTGAGATGTAGTTCTTGTTGTAGCATTTACATAGTATGGAGATGAGACTTAGCAATGGTTAGACATTGCCCGTAGAAAGATTTTGTTGTAAAACTTTCCACATGGAGAGGAGTTGCTGTGCTCTGCTCATCTTAATGGAGGGAGGAAAAATGCAAGGAGGGAAGGAGAGAGCAAAACCTTTGAATAGGGACATTGATTATACAGTCAACAGTGATCTTAATGAATGTGGAAAGAATAATATGCTAAGGTGTGGATTTTATATGAAAGTCTTTACGTTAAAACTTTGGTCCGGAAAGTAGCGTTCTAGAGTTTGTACTTTGCTTTGAAATCAGAGGCGGAAGTGTCCTGGGAGCTCATTGACTGTCAAGTCTGACTAGTTGATAAGCTTCAGGCCCAGTGAGATGCCCTGTCTTAAAGTAAGGTGGAGAAACATAGAAGAAGAAACTGATTTTTAAGCTTCATATGCATGTGCACCTGTGCACATACACATGCATCTGTACACACACATGATATGTACATACACCTGCACACACATGTATATATACGCATACACCTGTACACACACATATGTCTATATATACACACACGTGTCTGTACACACACACATCTGTAGACATACACACATGTACCTGTACACACACACGTTTCTGCACACACACATATGCACCCATACACATACAAATGCATCTGTACACACACGTGTCTATACATACACACATGTATCTGTACACACACACACACATCTGTAGACATACACACATGCACCTGCACACACACACATGTTTCTGCACACACACATATGCACCCATACACATACACATGCATCTGTACACACACATATGATATGTACATACACACACCTGCACACACATGTATATAAACACACATGCACCTGTATACACACACATGTGTCTGTACATACACATGTGTCTATACACACACACCCATACACATAAACATGTGTCAGTACACATACACATGTGTCTGTACACATACATGCACTTGTACACATACACACATGCATCTGCATGCACACACATGTCTGCACACACACGTGTATCTGTACACATACACACATGTGCCTGCATGCACACACGTTTCTGTACACACACATATATGCACCCATACACATACACATGCATCTGTACATATGCATATATGTACATACACATGTGCCTGTACACACACATGCACATGCACACACACAGGTTTCTGTACACACACATATGCACCTATACACATACACATGTCTGTACACATACACATACATCTATACACACACGTGCACCCATACACACACATGCACCTGTACACACACATGTGTCTGTATACTCACACATACACCTGTACACACACATGCATCTGTACATACACATGCACCCATGCACATACAAATGTGTCTATATACACACACACATGCACCTGTACACACACACATCTGTACAGACACATGCACCTGTACACACACATGCATCTGTACATACACACACATGCACCAGTACACATATATGTGTCTGTATACTCACACATGCACCTGTACACACACATGCACTTGTACACACACATGCACTTGTACACACACATGCACTTATACACACACATACATCTGTACACACATGCACCTGCACACACACATGCACTTATACACATACAATGTACCTGTACACACATATGCATCTATACACACACATGCATCTGTACATACACATACATCCTGAACACACATATGTGCACACGTGTCTGTACACACACATGCACACATACACATACATGCACCTGTATACACATATGCACCTGTATACACACATGCATCTGTACTCACACATGCACCTGCACACTCACATGCATCTGTATACACACATGCATCTGTACACACACATGCACCTGTACACACACACATGCACCTGTACGTATACACATATATCTGTATACACACACATGCACCTGCACACATACACATGCACCTGCACACACAAATGCATCTGTACACACAATACAGATGTACACACACATGCCTGTTGAAATTGGCTGTTCATGAGTGAACACCTAAAAGATAATGCAAGCCTCTTCTCTTTCTTAAATCCCCACCCCACTCTGGCTCTTACAAAGCATAATGAATGAGTAAGTGTTAGCACATGAACTTTATCAATGGTTACTTAGGGATAACTTCTGGATATAGATTTATCTGGGGGTATATGTGTTCATGAGTCCTTAATGGGTCCTGCAACAGTTTTCATTTTGGGTTAATATCTAATATCCGTTTCTTCTGTTGAAATTCACAACAGTACTCTAGGCATTTATTTAGCCAGCATTTCTAGTCTTTCCTAAGATTCAATCATGTTAAATCCCCAGGAAGCTAATAAAACCAAACTCCTTCCAATAGCTTGTTAATTGTAACAGGTAGACTCAAAAAATGGTATTAAAATATATTGTTTCACTTAGAAGATCCATCCACAGCCATTACGTAAATAGGAACTGAAAAGGAGGGAGGTGAGGCTTGGCCAATAACACCAGCGATCACAAAGTGAGCTTATCCCCCCTGCCACTTTTTTCAATCCAGGGACTCAAACCCAGAGTCCTCTGCATTCCATTCCACACATACTCTCTATCACTGAACCCCATCTACAACCCATTCATTTCTTCTCACGTTTATAGCTTCCATGTTTTTAGCTGGTATATTTCCCATTAGAATACATGTCTGATCAAAGAAGACGCAAACTCATTTATTATTCAGGTCCCCACTCTGAGGACTTTGGGTGCTTGTCAAAGTTTGTTAAGAGCGTAGACAGTTATAGTCTTACATAATTCTACAGGTGAGAGAAAAATTGACTTCCTCAAAGGACCCCTGGGTACCAGGAACACTCCAGATATGGAATGCAGAAGACAAGTTAGGTGTGTGTTCGTTTGGAATGTGCGTTGTATGAGAGGCAATTGCAGTGATAGTTTTTCATAGATCAATTCAAAATTTTATGTTCAGTCAGGGATACCC